ATATATAATAAAATATCATCCAATTAAATTTATGATATGAATTAACCAATAAAATAAGAACTAAATATTCATATTATAACAATATATAATTATTATAAAAACTCTGATTGTTATAATATTTATGCTTTTGTTGATTACTTTGATCAATAAGAGTTTAATAATGTAATTAGACTGATTAATAATTATATTAATAAAATTTAATGATAATATGTAATAATGGATGTATACAGTGATTTGGTCATATGGAACCCTTTTTCTTTAAATGCACAATCTTCATAAATGCATATTTATGGCTGGTCCCAAGGGGGTGCATTTAGAGAGGTTTCTCTGTACCAAAATTGGCTAACGGAAATACGGAGGAACAAACGGCTGTACTTTATGCCAAGTTTCATCAAATGCTTGTACAATATCATCGGGCAATGGACCTTTCTCGAGAAACTCTAAATTTTCTCGCGTGTGTTCAATTGATGATGCTCCAATTATGATTGCTAATGAAGAAGACTATAATTTAGTTATAAATGAAAAAAATTATATTAATTTTTATTGATCAATTTTTTATAATACCATCTCCGCAATTTGCGTCCATTTTTCCGTGATGATTTATCCAACGAAGTCCTGCTTCAACAGTCGAGATGTTGTGTTTTGCGACTACGGAATTTATATAGTTTATTGCCTCGAAATAAGCTTGTTTCCCATATCTATTTATTGTAAATGATGAAAATTTTTGGGGGTCAATAAAAAAGAATAATTACATCCTTGCACTTTCAATTCCTTTACTAATTACCTTTCACGATACCTATTTCATCAAAAGGAATAAATTTAATATCGAATGCGCTACACGTAAAATCATTTATTATTTTGTAGCTTACATTCTTCCATTTACCAGATTTGGATCAAATCGCGATCCTTTTTCAATTTCTGAATCAAGTGAAGTGAATTTCCCCGCGAATAATCCACCAGCAGTTGGATTATAAGCATAGAATCTAATGCCAAATTTACGCAGTGCTGGGAATAGTTCGTGTTCCACATCACGAGTGATTGCATCTTTTTTTGATAGATAAGTGAGCAAGGGTGTTTGATTTGTAGGAACAATTTTAAATTGAAAGTTTGATACTTACTATACTAGTAAGATTTTTAATTAATCCAAATTTAGAAAGCAGATAAGAAGACCGTATATGCAAAATATCTCTAATATAACTAGAATACAGCTTACCATTCCTTGATAAACTGTTGGCAACACATATCCATTATGTTTGCAAATATAATAAACCTCAGCTACTTGCCAAGCAGTGAAATTTGATAATCCAAACTAATATTAAAAAAAATGATAATTATTTAATTTGTTGCATCATAGAAAATCAACTAAAAAAATAACACGCACCTCCTTGAATAATCCCTTCTCATAAACTTGTTGCACTCCCTTAAGAGTAATTTCAATCGGGGTTGTATGATCCGGTGCATGTAGATAAAGTAAATCGACTTTTGGAACTTTTAAAGCAGTTAATGAACTTTGAAAAAGACCTTCAATGATTTCTATTGGACTTTTTCCAGATTTTTTTAGATCCGGCGTAACTAAGATATAACAAATTAAATTAAAATTTTGTGATTGATCAGTTTCATAAATCTAATTAGTAGTGAAAAACCTTACCTTTTACTTAAGATTCGAGTGTCAAGCAAAAAAATATGAAATTTCTTTATTTATTGAAATAATGAATATAATATTCTTTGTAAGGATTCTTCAAAAAAAATACCTTTAGTAGCAATTTTAAATTTTTGTTTTGTGACTATTTCTAAATCACCTAATAACTGTGACAAAAATTAAATTTATTCAATATATCTGATTTATTCATTCTTTTCTCTTTTTACCTCTTCGGTCGATCCACCGCAATACACTCGTGCAGTATCTAAAGATTCCAACAATGAGAAGATCAAACAAAATCAAATAAGAAATACTAATAATTATCGAAAACTAATAATTATTACCTAATTCATCATGTCCAAATCCTCGAAAAATATCTAAAATCTGCTGAACTACTTCTGGATCATCGATTCGTGGATGTTCACGATATCCAAATGTCATTGTTCTAATGATTTATTTTTAAAATTCGAGGATAAATGACAATTCTATATCAATTTAGTATATAAAGATACAAAAATACCCGAGAATAACTGCCGGTTTGAGATGTTTTTCGATAGGATTTGACATTTTTTTAATATGCGACGCTTGGGGACCACAGCTCTTTAAGATATGCAGGTCAAAACTTTAATTTTTTGTTATTCCAGATTGATGATTTTTATTGGTGATATTGAGAAAACAAATCACGCTTAATGTTTTTGATTTATACATTTTCTATCATTATGAATGCTATCATATTAATGATTGGTGGATATGAAATGATGGTCATTGTTATTTTTCTTTGCGTTTGTAGCGCGTTATCGTTAGATTGATCTAGAGCAACTGTGATCTCAATATTGTTATATGCTTAGTTACCACCATTTGTATGAGGATTTGCGGCAGCGGAAGATGAAGACGACCCAAAAATCGGCGTTGATCAGATGAAAAAAGTTAATGGAATTGTCATCATTCTATAATCAGTGACTTTTTTATATTTAATTCTAATTTCATTTTCATCGAGTTGAATCAATTTTTTATAGTAAACCAGATTATAATGTTAATTTTTTGCATCGATCAAACTCATAATTTGTTGCTCAATAGACAGCAGCTTGAAATGTAAATAATCAATCCTCTGACTCCTTGTTTTTTAGTTGGTGTTATTGCAGAAGCTCGATCACATTAGAAGGTTCAAATCTTGTGATCCTAGTCTAGAATTGGATTATCTTTTTATTGTCTGACGAAATGATAGAGTTAAATCCTAATTCACTATCTATCTATCTATATACAGTCAAAGTCCTTTACAACGGCCGCATTGGATTGGCACTTTTGGGCCGGTATATATAGGGAGTTTTTAAATAGTTAAAAATCGGTATATCAATACGGTATAAGCCAAATTTGATGTATACAGCACCGCTGTAAAGGACTTTGATTATATATGCCTTCGCCTAGAGTTAAAATAGGTAAAGAAATATAAATCTGATTAGCTCATCTCTTGAATATTAGACAAAAAGGGCACTTTTTTCCGCGCACCTTATTTTATTTTTCCCTTGGAGAAATGTTTTCTGATAGAAAATCACGACATTCGAGGTATTCCTTTTCCTGGTGCATATTCCGATCAATTAGGCTTGAACACGCATCAAGAAAAGGAAGGCAAAATAAAACCAACCTGCCTATCATATTTGTGAAATAGTATAGTCATGGAGTTAGATTCGAAATCTAAATTTATTTATATTACGTGAAGAAAAAACAAATTAGAAACGTACCTATAAATGCAAATAAAATGAATAATATCTATATATAAACTATCTTATTAGTTCAGAAAAATAATTTTTAAAGAGTTTGCTTCATCATTGCCAGCAATTGGAAAATTCTGACAGTATGTATTAGCATGGTATACACATCATGACAAGTGGATATACGACGAAAATCATAATATTGATTAAATTAAAAGTACCTTAATTTGATGGCCATTTTTTTCGATATAATAAAATTTTTGATGACGAGTACTGTAAATCGAGAACCAAATAATTACCTATTAGAAGAATTTTAAAAAACTTTTTAATAATTTCTTTAGTGATATAATAAAAAATGATGACGATAGATTCATATAATATTATTTCTCCTCAAATATATATATTCAGTATTTGATAGTGCTTGAGTTTATTAATCATTTTTTAGTATTTATTTATAAGACAAAAAAACAAAAATTTAGTCATCCATCAATCAATTCATTGATTCCTACCGTGTATTTTAAATTCGTGAACGAATAGACCGATATTTTCTAGATAATAATGCCAATTCAATTAGACAGAGAATTCAACAAAAAATATTTTTTATCTTTTTAATAGTTCAGAATTTTAAAATAGTTTGTCAATCTACATTAGAATTACTTCAGACTGGGGCGACAGTTTTAGACATCATATATTGTTATGTCTGTTTGTAATTTTTCCTTAATAATCTACTTACCCTTTCTAATGGAAAAAAATAAATGTCCAGGAATATAGGAAAAAGATAAATGTCCAAGAATATAGCAAAAAAAATAAAGAGTATATTTTCGAGTGACTCACATTTACAAAGATCAAGATTCGACCAATTATCTTTATGCAACGGTTATCGGTGAAATGGCATGATTCCTCTTAAAGCTCTTAATTAAAGTTGCTTATTAGAAATTTTGACTTACTGAAGAACTAGGAGAATTTTTTGCAGGGACCGATATGGGATTTGGAACCTTGTTAGTTTTAACATATTCTTTTGTCCCATTTACTGTAGTCGTTAATATGACATAGGTTTCGCGTTAATATGACGAAACTACTCTATAGCGATAGTGATATAGTCTATTCAATATCGTGACATATGCGTTATGTCATATTAATGATAAAGATGAACTGTACTACATATATAATTCATGATTAGAATTTCGTAAAAAAATTTATAGAAAACCACTATGAAAATTTTTATTTTGATACATAGTAATATATACATAGATTGAGAATATTTGTTATATTATACTTTAATGAATTATCAAGTTATTACAAACTTCATTATATCCGAGAGTTTATTATAATAAGATTGTCTATGTATGACATAATAATAAGTAAGTTTGTTATTTAAACCAATTTCTTTTATAAACTTTGTCATTCTTTGCTTACCTTTATAAGGGAGGAATCTGGATACCGACCCCCAGTCACTTCAACAGCATTAATAGCAGATCGTATTTCGTTGATTTCTTCAGCGGTTAGAGTGATGGTTGTGGCTTTGACATTTTCTTCGAGATATCTGTTTAATAAACAAATAAATTAATCGACTAGTAAAGCAGATAAATCAAGAAATAAGCTGAAAATACTTGCTTCATTTGTTTGGTTCCTGGGATAACGACAAAATCTTCTCCCTATCACAAATTCAATAAAAACTACTATGATATGAAATGAAAAATTAATACGTCCATTTACCTGAGCCAAAATCCAAGCTAGGCAAAGTTGACTGCTTGTAACTCCTTTCTTGCGACCTAGCTCCTCAAGGCGACGTACAATTTCGAAATTCTTCGCGAAATTTTCGCCTTGGAATCGTGGAAGTAGTCTTCGAAAGTCGTTTTCGGCTAAATCATCAAGGGATTTTATTTGTCCCTATAATAATGATAAATAAAACAAATCATAATAGATTATTATAATTTATGTTAATCAAACTTACCGACAAGAAACCACGTCCTAATGGACTATAAGCTACAATGGTAACGCAAAGTTCGCGACACGTTTCAAGAATCCCGTCTTGTTCAATATCAAGAGCCCATGGACTATATTCCATCTAATAATAGCAAAGTAATAAATGAAATAAAACAAATATTAAAAATCTCATTTCATGATTAATTCTACGTTTTTTTTTTTACCTGTAAAGCAGCAATCGGGTGTACTTTATAAGCCCGTCGAAGTTCATCAACACTACATTCCGACAGACCGAGATACTTGACTTTTCCCTCTTTGACTAATTCAGCCATAGCAGCAACAGTCTCCTCAATTGGTCTAACAAAATATTTGTATTTTTTTCAGTATTGAACTCATTTGTTCTCGCAATCATTTCGACTAAAATAAGTAAATTTACGTTTTTGGATCGACGCGGTGTTGATAATAAAGATCGATATAATCGACGCCTAATCGCTTCAAACTTTTTTCACATGATTCACGAACATATGGCGCGTCTCCTCGTACACCTTTAGCAATCCCGTTCTCATCACGAACAATGGCTAATAATCGGATATTTTATTTTTATTATTACCACGAATCGCCAAAAAAGGATAAATTTAGTCCGATATTAACCGAATTTAGTAGCGAGAAACACATCTTTTCTATGGTCCTTTAAAATGTGCGATAATAATTCCTTTATTATGAAAAATGGTTAAATTGAATTGGATTTTTATTCAACAAAATTATTAAATTGAATTGGGTTTTTTATTCAGCAAAATTATTTACTTCGTTTTTGCCAATCCCATAAAGATCCGCGGTGTCCCAATGATAGCTTCCCAATTCAATGGAGCGTCTCAAAACTTGCAAACTATGAACATAATCAGCTTCTCCATAACATTCGCTCATTCCCTAAAGTATATAACCATATAATTAGAGAATCAAAAATAGAGAAATAACTATTTACTATATACCATACATCCTAATCCAATCGATGGGATCTTTACACCTGTTTTTCCGAGAGGTCGAAATGGAATTGATGATGTCATTTTTTTAATCGAGCAAAAAAAGTAGTATGTATCTTATTTATTCAAAGTACAGATTAACGTGTGTCACGTTATACGTATAATAAAGTTCATCCATAACTTCGGGCCGAATTATGTTGATCTTCGGCCGAAATTAAACGCTTAACAAGAATGTCGCAGATCTTCAGAATGCTAAAATGGAAATAATGACGGGATTAATTAATTAACGTTAAAGTTTTCTAGTATAATTAAAGTTTTTTCTGGTATAATTAAGGTTTTTTCTAGTATGACTAAAGCCTGATTTTTTTTTGAAAGGAACGCTTTAAATCGAGTTTTTGCCGATCAGAGACAAAAGTTGTTTTCATTTTAATCGTATAATGTGATGGTATAACACTACGCAAAATGAATACCTTTTTGAAATGTAAGCCTGTTTATTACGTTCACAACTAATTCTTTCTTCAATGTGTTATAACCGCATAACGATGAATTATAGTACCCTAGCCGGCCATCCGATATACCCCTTAAAATTATGCACCAATCAAATCGCAAGGTCAAACAAATGTTTATTTTTTTGAAAAATAGCTTGTGCTCTAATAAAAAATGTTTCTTGCGAAATTTTGCTATATATTATACATAATCTTATTCTGATTCTTTAATTAATATTTCGCCGTGGCTAGGGTATTAGATGAATTACCAAATTTAAATTTCGATCATCTACCTGCTTTTTTTTTGTCTTAATTAATGATTTACGTTAATGGAAGTTTGTGTGCTTATTATGCATCATATGAATGAGAAATCGAGGAAGGAGTAAGGGAAGGGGAGGGGAAGAGAGAAAAATACAAGGTGGTTGGTGGTGCCAACTTGCCTCGTTTATTATGTATATGATAAATATAGAAAAAAATGTAGCCAAGAGCTATCTCCATAAATTTATTTGGAATCTCAATGGAACATTTATGTGCTTGGATTAAGAGATTTTGACATAATTACCTTTTACTGTTTTTGTAAAAGGGTAAATAAATAAGCTAATTTAGAATTAATAAAATATTTACTTTTTTGAATCCCCAAGGTTATTTTTAGAAACATGATGCGATCATGTAATTTCTGATTGGATGGAAGAACAAAAAAAAGTGAGAAATATAATAAACTGTTAAAGGTTAGTAGTAATTTCATCATCATCGTTTCTTTTGGTACTTTTAATTTGCACCCATGAACGAGTAAAGTATTTATTTGATGTATGTATATATATTGGTGTATATGTTTGCGTATGAATATTCGGTTACATAAGTTAAAAAAGTTCTTTATGTGGATTGTGTGTTTAGAAAGAAAAATAATTTATCAAAACAAATAATCTAAATTATTATATACGGTCTTCTTGAAAGAAAGAAAAAATTATTTTTCGCCATTATTGGCTTTCTTTACACTTTTAAATTTGACACATAATAAAAAAAAAATAGTGGTATTCTTTTTCTACCACATAACGTTTATTGTTTTTTATTTAGTAAGGTTTTGAAGTTAAACTGCCCCTTATTATATTGTTTGAAGAAAACAATATTATCAAACTACTAGCACTCTTCATCACCAATTCTTTCAATTCTATTAATTTTTGTTTTTCAAATAGCCGTTTTTATTTAGCTCTTCGATTCTCAAGTTACCTTTGAAGGCACGAATGCTTAGTCAACAGTAACAAGACAACTGGCTCGAAACAACAAAAAAAAAGACGAAAAGCTCATTATAAAAAAGAACTTTTCACGCGAAAAACATTAATCGTGGTTGGTTGTATAGATAAACTTCTTTTGAATGAACAGTAGTAGTGAAAATGTCTTCAACACCACCAGAACCCGAGAATAGAACTTCAACAGCAGCAGCACCAGGAGCTCGACATTCAACAATCTCAAGGGAACCAATGCAATCCCGTAATTCTATATTCAACCATGTACACGCTACATCACACAATTTAGCATATAAGGAAACAGATAGTGGCAGTGGGGGACGAGGCCAAAATCATCCAAGTGAACTGGAAAGAGGTGAAGGTGGCGGTAATCATATACATAACAGACAAAGTATATTAAGCCGTGACGAACGAAAATCCATGGAATCCAAAAAACGTTCATTAAAAAGAAAAAAAAGTTCAAAGGAACAATCAACTGAAAAAAAGCGTAAAGAATGGCCAACCTGTTGGATAATTTATTGCTATGCTGTGACATTTTACGCTCCTCCTTTTATTCTTAGTGCATGTGGTAAATTGAATATAATCAGTTTTGATTCTTTTTATGACAGGATTAAAAATAATGAAGTCATGATTATAATAAAAAATTAGGTCGAATGAAGACACAAGAAATTCAACGTGCATGGCGAGAAAAGATCGGTTTGATCACTGTTATTTTTTTAATATGTGCATTTGTGGCATTCCTAACTTTTGGTATGAAAATTTTTTTTCATTATTTCTATATTCAAAATTGTTAGTAATTAATTCTTATATCATAATAATAATAATATAGGATTTACACAAGTGATTTGTGGCGCTCCTCCAACTCGTGTGAGAGGTGGTAAAGTTTTTAATGATCATGCAATAATAAATGGGTTTGCCTACGATCTATCAAAATATAAGGGACATCCTGGTGTACCTTTTTATGATCCGCCAATACCTCCAAACGTCGAGCTTGCATATGCACCCGTGAATGCAGGTGGAAAAGACATTTCGTTCTTATTTCAAAACGTGAATAAAAAATGCCAAGGAGTCATCACACTTAAACCAGATGCAGATGCACCATCTCAAAACGGACTAGTTGGATGGTATTTCCCTTGTGTAATGGTCGACCAAGACGGATCTTCACAACCACTTGAGAAATGGAGTCCTCCTCGTCGTGGTGCGGGTTGTCATACTAGTGCTCTGGCACGAGATGCGTATTCCAGATTGAAAAAAGCTGGAGAAATATTTTATACTTGGGAAGAAGTTGCTAAGCCAAATCGCAATCTGGCCGTGTATAATGGGTGGGTGTTGCATATTATTTATTATTTGTAAATAAATTATACGAAAATAATTCATTTGTGTATGTGATTTCTGTAGTTATGTACTTGATTTGGATAAATTAAAATTCCTTGATCTTCAACAAGTTAATGTTCCAGGAGTTTTCCATAATTTGACCAATTCAAATAACAAGTTTCGTGGTCGTGATTCTTCTCTTACGTTTTTGAATACGGGAAACAAAAGAATCGCTGACTGCCTCGCTGATGTGATAAAAATCGGCTCTATTGATACAAAAACTATGGGCTGTATTGCTTCCGACATTGTTTTGTATATTTCACTCACTTTTATCGTAGGTGTTGTGTTGATAAAATTCGTATTGGCTGTCATTTTTGGGTGGTGTTTATCTTGGAGATTAGGCTCTTTCAAACTTGAATCATATGAGGAAAGAATGAAGCGTGCAACCGAAATTGAAGCATGGTCCGAGGATATTAATAAGCCGGCAAAATTGCCAAATCGTAAATCTCGTTATTTTCCAAAGTCGTCTCGTTTTTCAACGGCTTATAATCCAACTAGTCAAAATAATCCAAATAGACCAATTAGCAATTTTGGTCCAGCGGGTAATCTTGGAGCCTATAATAGTGGTCGTCGCTCTCCTTTAACAAAACCTGCTGGAACTTCGAATGCGTTCCTTCATCCAAACGGAGGAACTACACCACGCATATCACCCAATGGATCACCGGGTACTAGTCCAACGTTAAAGCCAACTCGCTCAAATTCCCCGGTACGACAAATACCACCTTCTCCAGTAACTGATACCGCCAAAAATACAAGTTCAAGTTCACTGACTTTTGCTAATAATGAAGGATTTTCAGTAGCAAATTCATTAGCTACAGGAAGTAAAGAATCTCTTGGAAATTGTCCTTTCCCTAGCTCTAATGTAGTGCAACAACCATCACCCGACTATCAACCCTGGGATTTTCCACTAGCTCATACAATTTGTTTAATCACGGCCTATTCAGAGTCGGAACAAGGACTTCGAAGTACATTAGATTCAGTGGCCACAACGGATTATCCAAATTCTCATAAATTAATTCTAGTAATTGCTGATGGTATTATAACCGGAGGTGGTAATGCACAATCAACACCAGACATTTTACTCTCTCTCATGCATGAGTTTGTGGTGCCACCTGAAGAAGTTGTAGCTAATTCCTATGTTGCGATTGCTGATGGAACTAAACGTCATAATATGGCGAAAGTATACGCTGGTTTTTACAAATATGATGATAAAGTCCAAGTTAGCAAGCAACAACGTGTTCCAATGGTTGTGGTGGTTAAATGTGGTGCCACAGAAGAACAAAATCTCCCTAAACCTGGGAATCGAGGAAAACGTGATTCTCAAATTATCTTGATGAGCTTTTTACAAAAAGTGATGTTTGATGAACGTATGACATCATTTGAATATGAATTTTTCAATTCGATATGGCAAGTGACTGGTGTTACACCCGACAAATACGAGATTGCGTTAATGGTGAGTACTTTGAAATTGTTTAAAGAATTTTTTCAATGAATTTATTTTTAATTATACATTTAATAATCAGGTGGATGCCGACACTAAAGTATATCCAGATTCTCTTTCACGTATGATTTCTTGCATGACACGTGATTATGATATTATGGGTCTTTGCGGAGAAACTAAAATTGCAAACAAGACCGATAGTTTTTGGACAATGATTCAGGTGTTTGAATATTATATTTCACATCATCAAAGCAAGGCTTTTGAATCTATATTTGGTGGTGTAACTTGTCTACCAGGATGTTTTTGTATGTATCGAATCAAAGCACCGAAAAGAGATGGATATTGGGTACCAATTTTAGCTGCTCAAGATATCGTTGAACATTACTCCGAGAACATTGTTGATACCTTGCATAAGAAAAATCTTTATTTGCTTGGTGAAGATCGTTTCTTAACAACTTTAATGCTTCGCACTTTTCCCAAAAGAAAAATGATATTCGTTCCACAAGCGGTTTGTAAAACTATTGTTCCCGATTCATTCAGAGTCTTACTTTCACAGCGTCGTCGGTGGATTAATTCCACTGTGCATAATTTAATGGAATTAGTGTTGGTTAGAGATCTGTGTGGGACATTTTGCTTTTCCATGCAATTTGTCATATTCATGGAACTGGTTGGTACAGTAGTGCTGCCGGCTGCTATCAGTTTCACTATTTACCTTGTTATAATTTCCTTCTTTATAAAACCCCCTCCAATCATCCCGTTAATGTTGCTTGCGGCAATCCTGGGATTACCCGCCATTTTAATTCTCATGACTTCCCGAAAGATTGTTTACGTAGGATGGATGTTAATTTACTTGTTCTCATTACCTATTTGGAATTTCCTCTTACCAGTTTATGCCTACTGGCATTTTGACGATTTTACTTGGGGCGCGACTCGCCAAGTCCAAGGTGACAAAGGAAAAGGTGACCATTCGGCGAAAGACGGAGAGTTCGATAGCTCCAAGATTGTAATGAAACGATGGGTTGAATTTGAACGAGAACGTCGATTCAGGGAGGCGATAGTCAAAGGACTACCACCACCACAATTTTTGGAGGACTCGAACATGGGTATGCTGCGCAAGAGTCAATACAGCATGGCAGATTCTTTTGAATCAATGAGCACAAATGAAAGTTCAATGCCACTGACTAAAGGTGCTGATCGGTCTCGTGATACCATTTCTAATACAGAACTGGATTCCGAAGACATGTCCCACGAAGGTTCTCCGGTTGACGAAGTTCAAGAAAAAGACTCGTTCATGTATTTAAAGGATACCGGAAGTAAAGTTGAAGGTAACCTTTTCAGTCAAGTTGGTGATATAGAACCATCGAATCCGTCAATAACTCCAACAACAACTCCTTCGCCGATTCCTGCGCTAAGAACAAACACTCCTTCGCCGATCCCCGACCGCAATCGCCGAGAAGCTGATGACGCCGAAGAAGATGGTGATGATGACGATGATATTGCTATAGGTGATACTATACCTGTAGGTTTACAACATCATGCGCAACAAAGAATTCGTCAATCAGTTTCCAATTTTTTACCAACATCACCATCACCATCTTCAAATCGGCAGTCACGCTATCGTCAGGACGGTGGTGGGTCTCCTCGTCATGGATCTCCACGATCTTCATCGCGTGATACATATTACGCACAACAAACAGCACGAGAAGCAGCCGCAAGACAAAACTCCCGTGATTCAGTATTTGATCAACAGCCACCACGTCCTCCATTTTCTCAACATGATCGATCTCAACGAGAAAGAAGAGGCTCACGCGAACATTCACGCTCTAGTTCACTTGAAATTTCTACATCGGCTGGTCCACGACATCATAATAGTAATAGTAGTATTAGTGGTAGTTCAACTAATAAACAATCCACACGTCATCATACACGTGTTGGTAGTGGAAGTGTGAGTGGTGGAAGTGGTGGTGGTAGTGTGAGTGGTGGCTATGTCCCGAATAATAAGTCTACGAGAACTGCACATAATAACAAAAAAAATTAATTGATTGATTGATTTATACCAGTATTTTTTATTTTATTTTTATATTAATGTATAATTGTAATAATGGATATTTGTAGTTTTAAATGCATTATTTTTAGTGTTCTACCATAAAAACTTTATCGATAGATAGAAACTATTATTTACATAGTCAAAATCTCAATTTTTAATCGAAAACTATACCCATCACAATTCAAGTTTTGACTTAAATTTAGAATTAATTTTAATAACTGTCTATTCTTTGATATTAATCTAATGTTAAAGGTATAACAAATAACCAAGACTTATTTAGTAGTTTAACTAACTATATCTACTAAAAAAATTCCTTATCCAACCAACTACCTTTTTTGCAATAACCAATAAAACACCGAATCTAAAATACATTCACAAAAATAAATAACATGATCCAAAATTCCTTTCGAATTTACAATATACTGGGGGAACACATTAGATTGTGTTTCTTAAATTAACTATTACGTTGCGATTTTGGAGCCAGTTACCTAGAAGATCGGGTCGTCAAACTGCTACATTTACGAATTACCAAGACATAATAATTAAACTGATTTTTTAATATTAAAATGCTTGTCCAATAATATAACTTTATTAAATAATAAATGTGGAAGATCATAATGAAAAACGAATAATGGTGAAAATTTTGGCCAAAGTTGTGCAGATTATGGGATAATTTGGCCAGAATTATTGATAATTTCTTATAATAAAAGAGCAATGAAAATAATAATAATAAATACATAAAATATATAACTTAAATCAATTTTGCAATAATATTTATATTGCTAAATATTATATAAATTTATGAGTATAATTGTTATTTAATTTATTATAATAAATATTGCAAAGTTTCATTATAATTTGTTTTTCATTATAATCTTTCACAATATATAAATAATAAATCATCAAATCATTATTAGTTTTTGTAATATTAATTCAAAAGAAAAAAATTTAAAACACTGAAAAATTTGCAGGTTATTACTTATATAATTAAATATAATTGGTCAAATTTATTATAAATATAATTATTTTTTTATATTATTACTATTTTTATATAATTTAAATTTTACTTAAAAGTAATATTAAATTATGACTAGTATTTTTATGAACCAAAATAAATCAGACTTTTATTTGAATTTAAGTTTGATTTAAAATTCAAATTGAACTTGAACTGGATTTTGATTTGAGTTCAAGAAAAATTCAAAATTCAAACTAAACTTGAATTAAATTATTATATAAATTCAAGTTTGATTTGAGTTTGAATTAAAATTAACATATAATATTATATACTAATTTGTAGTTTTAAACTTGAATTATAACTTTATTTATAAATACAAATTATAATAGTTACTAAGAATTAAAAGTTTATTTAGTAATAACTAAAATATTTTTATTTTTATATTTATTAAGAGTAAAATATATAATATTATTAAATCAAAGAATTTTGTTTAGAAATTAATCAAATTACTTGATTTTTAAAAATTGAATAATTTTGAACAAAAATTTTTTAATTTAATAATATCATATATTTTATTTTTAAATTTTATTATAAATTCTATATAATTTTTCAATTATTTATTATTAATATAAATCAACTTATATAATATTAAAAAGTATAATTTAATAAATAAAATAAATTATTTTAAAATTTTTTAATATTTTAAAAAATAAAATTTAGAAAAATCAAATCAATAACTTTATTCTTTAATATAAGCTCTATTAAATTAGTAAAATATCTTTTATTAAATAATTTTTTTAAAAAAAATTAATAATAATTATATTATTACTATTAGTAGTTTTTATAAATAAAAATCTTTACTATATAGTAAGCAGTAATTATATTCATGTAAAAGATTGAATTACTAAATTATTAAAAGTTATAAAATAATAAAATAATGATATTGAATGTATTTTCAACAAGAAATCAACAAATTTAAATAAATAATTATCAAAATTTTTTTGAAATACTAATAATAATAATTATATAAATATAATTATAAATACTGTTTTTCTTAGATCAGCAATATAAAAATTAATTTAATATAATATTCTTTTGATATTATTCTATAATAATAATACTAGTAAGCAGTAATTATATTTATGTGAAAGATTGAATTACTAAATTATCAAAAGTTATAATTCAATTATCAAATAATAAAATAATGATATTGAATATATTTTCAACAAGAAATCAACAAATTTAAATAAATAATTATCAAAACTTTTTTGAAATACTAATAATAATAATTATATAAATATAATTATAAATACTATTTTTCTTAGATCAGCAATATAAAAATTAATTTAATATAATATTCTTTTGATATTATTCTATAATAATAATACAAATAATAAATAAATTATAAATAATAATTTCTTGTTAAGATAACATAATTAAAAAATTAATATTGTCACCATTTTCAGAGTCATTTTCTATGATGATATTTCTAAAATATGGCGAGTGACTGTGTTCAATTGAAAGATCAGACTACTGAACTATCAAAACTTATAATTTAAATATCAAATATTAAAATAA